GGATGCATACATCGATCGCCTTTTGAAGAAAGGCTGCCAATGCAAGATGGCAAGGGTCATTTTGGGCTGGTGATTTTCCATGGTTCAGATCCCCAGCAGCATAATGATTTTGTTCTTTAAGGATTGCCTTGGTAAAGGGTTATAGTAGATCTGCAGAGGGAATGCTGATCACATTCCAAGTTAGGTCCAGGGGAGAACTAGACAAGAGGGTTTGACAGATGTCAAAAGTTTTGCTTGAGTCCTTGTTAGAGTAGGGGGACCTAGGAGAAGCAAGGGAGGGACCCCAGGCTCAGTAGGGGAGCATAGGTACTTGTAGAAGAGGGTTTTCTCCCAGATAGTTCAGTCGGTAGAGCAAGACCGGCTGGTGTTGGGCAGTTGGACAGTGAGAGTGATCCTGTCAACTTGTTGCTAGGTCAGGTGGAGGACTGACAGTAAGTCTTTTGTAGGCTGAGGGGAGTGTAGAAGTGCTTCACCGGTAAGGCCACACCAGTGTGTTGCTCATGTGTCCAGTATGACACAGACCGAGGATGGAAATGGGAGGTCCAGTGATGGAAATGGTTGCGAGGTGTTGAACCGGCCAGGACCAGAGCTGGAGCCGAACATGTTGCCACTCCAAGGTCGGGCAGCACCACCAGGGTGATCCGGTGGTAGTGCACAGAGACCCTCAGGCCAGGATGGATAGGAAACAGAGTTTCACACTCCACACTTGTTTAGCTAGTACACCTGTTGGGCAGGTGTGTGCAGAAAAACTAGCTGGTGTTTTGAATGTATTTTCCTTGCAGGAAAATATATTCTTTAGTGGGAGGTTGTGTGAGGGATCTAGATCCCTCAGCTAGTTTTCCTAGTTTCTAGAGCAGGCTAGACACTCTAGAAATTGAAGCTTTCAAAAATAACATATGCTTGTTGGGTGTTGAATGAAAGCTTATGTCAAGAACTATCACTTGAGAGTAGTTAGAAGTCTGTGATTGCTCTGTAGAGAGAATTACAGAGATTTTCCTGTTTCTGTGAAATAGGATGTGAGTTGAGAGTGAGTGTGAGAGGATACTTGACTAAAACCGTTAGAGGTGGGGGGGAAGAGTGGGGGAGCGCTGCCTCACCCCCCCCCCCCCACATGGGAGACATCACGCCACTCCTTAGGCCTCCTCCTCCTTGTGACGTCACAAGACGCCGAGGGTGACGGAGAGAGGTGATTGGTTTGGGGCACGTGTGGTCCAAGCCTAGTTTTGGCGCGAAGAATTCTGATTGGGGGCGGCACGAGGGGCTGTGCCGGCTCCAAGCTGATTGGTTTAGGGATTGTAGGGAGTAGGTATGGGTATCTGTTGTACCCTGAGCCCGCGAAATCTTGAGTTTGAATTGGGCGGCCAGGGAAGGAAGAGGTGTTTGGGTGGGGCGGCACGCTTGCCGCCTCCACCCCCTGTTAATCGCTTCTGTCGTCCAAATTACTCGATGGGTGGCACTCCTGCCATCAGGGGTTGTCTCAAGGCCTAATTAAGTGAATTGGGGCCAGTGATTTACGGTAGAAACAGAAAAAAGCTAAGGGACAGTTGACTGTGTGAACGCATGAGGCAGGCTGGCAGAAGCCTCGTGGAGTATCAGATTGATCCCTCATCCCTCGGGTCTGAGCATCCTGTCTAGTGGCAATGGACAATTGATGTTGGCCAGTGTACGCGTATGTGTGATTGCAGGCCCATGTTGGACTCTGCATTCCGCCAGGCTGCGTCAGTATGGGGACGCCGCCTGGGGACGCCACCAACCATTGTCACCCCAGTGTAGAACAAAGGCATGGTTCTAGAGTGATGGGGTGGAGATTCCCCAGCCGCATGGGTACTCCTGTGGGCGGCAGCCTGCCAGCCCGCGGCCACCCGTGGCCACCCGCGCCTGCCCGCGCGCCGGCCACCCCAGGCCACCCACCCGCCTGCCCGCGAGGCGGCCACCCAGGCCACCCGCGAGCCGGCCACCCCAGGCCACCCAACCCCCCCTCTCTCAGCTCGGGGGGGGGGCGCTGTGGCCACCTGCCTTGGCCACATGCCTTGGCCACTTTCCCGGGACAGCCTAGGGCCACATCTTGTCAACGCATGAGGAGCAAGCCAGCTAAGTGTGTCAGCTAAAAGCTAAGTGTGGTAGTCAGTTTTGGGAATGAGGAAAAAATAAGGCAGTAGAAATGAGTAGAAATGAGTACTATTACAGTGTGATGAGTACCGGTGGATGTTCCCGGTAAGAGTTATCTCAGAGCCTCGCCAGGCCAGGAAAAAAACAGCTGGGGGGCAGCTGTCAGTGGAATCCAGATGTCGGGTAGGGGGGTACCTGGAGATAGAGATTATACACGGGACCACGCTGTATGGTAGTATGTTGGTAGACTGACTAGAGGATGTGACCAGTCAGTGTAGAGATTTACCATGTAAGTGATCCAGCCTGTCGATTCTATATAATCGTTCAGGCTGGATTAATGCCATAGAGTACGGTAAAATTATAATCATTAGAGGTAGTCAGGAGTGTCAGTGAGGACCCCTGAAGTCTGTGTAATTAGTACATATTACTTGGTGATATAATTTTCAGAGAGTAGGTGAAGGCCATTTCTATGTGTTCATTTGCATGTCTATGTACTGTGATTGTGTGGTAGTCAGTAGGGGTGATTGCTGACCGAGTGCCTAATGATGTCATTAGCATGTGGGTATGCTGACGGCATCATTATGTTGCAGGTTTGTGCAGTGTTGTTATCAGTATACAATATTATTGCCCCAGGAACTGTGTTGAGGGTAAGGGACCTCTAGGATTATTCAGGGGAATTTTCAGTACTTAATGAGAGCAGGCAATTGATGGGTTAATTGCCTGGCTGAAGTATGTGTGTGTTCACAGTATTCCTTTGCAATCGGGTGCAAGTAAAAGAAGAGGAGGGGCAGTAATATTAGTATACTTGTGTGTGTTGCACAACCGTGTGTTTTATTGTGTGGGCACAGTAATTAGCGAGTTGCAGTGCTGCAACTATATGTGGGTAGTGCTGATATGTTGTTGCATGCCATTATAGTGTGACCTATGTAACGCTGGGGTTACTTTGTTTCTTTAATTTATGTTGAGGACTTAAGGATTCAGTGAGTTAATTAAGGGGTAATTAACTGGATAAGGGGTGCACACTTAGTATTGGGGAGTGAGTGGGGGCTGTTAAGGGAACAGTGTTGAGCTATAATGAGATACGTCTCGGGAGCAATTAATTGTCCATGTGACAATTAATTGACCACTCTAGCTAATTATGTAATTAGCCTTCTCATCATGAATTCACGTAGTGGGAGAGGTTCTGTCAGAGTCTGTCAGTATTTGTGTTAACGTAATATGCTCGAGACTAATTACCTTTCAGGGGTATAGCATTAGTGGCTCATGTTAATTAGTGGAGTAATTAGCATTGGAGAGCTCCGGTGACTCGGTAAAGCGAGGTCATGGAGCTAGCATAAATCGTTGTATTAATCATATCCTGTCTGAGGACAGTGGATTATTGGCACATCTTGTTAATTAGGGTAATTAACTCCTTTCCCGTGAATTCACAGTGTTTGATGAGACCTGCTTAGGCAGTGCGGAGTGAGACGTATTTATGGATGGTTAATTATCGGTCCTGGTGACAGTTAATTAATGGCTCAGTAATTAGTGGGTTAATTAGGGTAATTAACACTCACTAGTAATTTTTTGGACACAGACTGTGGAGAAGCTACCAAGTTAGGGTAGGCTTAGTTAACGTAACTCAATGGGGATGTAGTTAGTGGTCCGTTTGACCTTAATTGAGAATTACTCACTGAATACTTGCAAGGAGTCAAGTGTGGTGTAATATATGTTGAGTTATTGTTAACAAGAGAGAGACAAGTGTTAAAGATTAACGTAGAGTATCATCATGTTGTTGTCTAGTGGGAGACAATTGTTTGTGATTACCGTGGTACTTTGTTGCTGACTGCTGCGATCAGTCAATTAATGTAATTAATCACTTCAGGCAATTTCTTTTGGTTGTCGTCTGGTGACGAGAGTAGAGTCATACTAGGGATCTGTGGAGCTGTGTCCCAGAATTCCCGCCTTGCCTGTCGGTGTATCGGGTTACAACAGGGCAACTTCTTAGTGGGAGTTGCAAAGAGTGTTCACACGGGGTTGTGATAGGGGGGAGTCACTGTTAGACTTCCGCCTAGTTACGTGGGTCTCTCCTGGGGGGCGGGAGGATCCCTAAGCTTGTGATTATAGTAGCTGTCAGGGGAACCGTGACACTATTGATTGCCTGCTTGTGTCTTTGTTTCAGTGGATCCTTCATTTGTTCAGTTAGTTCATGTTATCAGCCCGAAGTGTCAGCAAGATGGAGCCTGCTGTCACTTCTCGAGGGGCTGTTGAATAGCTGTGTTGCAAATGCCACTTGATGTACAATAACGTAACCATTCGCTGTGGTGTAACTTAGTCTGTGATATTTTTCTTTGTTTTGCAATATTGCGTCATCAGTGGGCACACCTGTGTTCAGGTTAGTTCAGTATGCAGCCTCACAGCAAGGGTTGCTATTTAGCTGGTTGTTATCGTGCCACTGGATGGACATTAACGTAACGTAAACTCGGTAATGTAGTAGTTAGTCTCTTGTTATTAATAAATTGTTATGTTATAGAAAACAGTCTTTGATGTCAACCCTTCAACCATATTATTCCACTATATTTCTGCATAATATCATTAAATGTTGATGTGATCTTGATAAGGCGGCTGTTCTTGGGAATTCGAATTCCAATTCATAGCGCCACTTCAAATATAAATATTTGATTGTGAGAACCCGTCGGTTACCCTTTATTAGTTTTAACGTCCTGTTTAACTAGAAGGAGCCAGCGGCCAATTGTGGACAGGTTTTCACCCTTGTTGGTGGAGGCCTGGCGGTTTGCTCCCGCTTTTCCTTTTTCTACTGGACTCATGCTTAACTGCCGTGAGCAGACTTTAAACTTGGAGTCCACCTCTTAAGGGAGGTAGGCGTAGAGAAAAATCTCACACTCGAGAAGTGGGTAGAGGACCCTGATGCCATACGTCACCTAGGCACTGTGGACCTCGTTTTCTATGTACAGTGCAGGGACTCACATCTTAATACCTTCGATGATCTCCTCCGCCAGTTGCTGCCTCAAACACTTCGTGATTCTGGTGCCGACTTCCAGCTGTTTAAGGAGATAATCTTGAGCTTAAATATATTAGTCCTGATTGACGGCTACGACCAGGTCAACGACCATTCACTAAGGCTGGTGAAGGAGCTGTTGCACCTGCCTGGCAAGGATGTGAGGTTGGTGATAACAACACGGCCGGGGTGGGACCAACAACTGTCACAGCTCGTCCCACACACCAGACCTCGCTGCAACATCCTCGTCTTGGGCATCACTCCAGAACGTCGCGTGGAGTTCGCCGAGAGAACCATGAAGGTGCTGGTGGAGGAAGAGAGCCAACGGAGTGTCATCACAGGGAGGTTTACCCAGCGGCTGGAGCAGATGAGTCAGTTCCTGGGTGAGTACCTCAATACTCCACTCACCTTGACCTTGTTGGCGCTGCTGTGTGTCGAGGCTCCAGAAGAATTTAACAACCTCACCACAAACACTCAAGTCTACGAGAAGATTCATGACTTCATAACCAACAAACTGGTGTCCAGACTCACAGACAAACACGTGACCGAACCCAAAAGGAAATGTGACAAGTTTTTGTTGTTCTTGGAAGAGATTAGTTTAAGAGGGATCCAGAGGAAGGAGTACGACCTTTGGCCGGAGACAGAAGCGGAGATTAGGGTGAAGTGTGACACTCTGGGACTGCCGCAGGAGGAGGTCTTGTCCAACTATTTCACAAGAACCAGCTACCGTCGGGGTCTCAGGGTGGTGTGGGTGTTTGGCTATGTTCACGCTAGGTACCAGGAGTATTGTGCCAGCAGGGGGCTGGTCGCTCTCTTGTTGAGGGCTGAGCAAGACCGAGGTGATCCAGCATCACACCGTGTGTCAGGGAAAAGGTCTATAATCATTGACCTCTTGGTGGATGTTGTACGTAAGGAAAGAGGATCCTTGGGAGATCACCTGAGAGGGTCAGAGTTTGATATTAGAGACGTGCAACATGAGCTTAGGCAACTCTCCAGATGGCAGAACATTTTACTCAGCACTACCGGGGTGCTGTGTGCCCGGGGAGTAGAGCACAGGTTCATTACTTACATAATTGACCTGTCCGAGATGGTAACAAATTCGACTGACGAGCTGTTGAAGCATGTAGCAGAGTCCCGCGGGAGTGAGCACGTCATCCAAGCCGTGTGTGAGAAGCTGCGTACAGAACTTTTGTGGACAATATGGAGTGTTGACTCGTGTGTTGTCCTGCCGCTTGTTCTTAAGAAGGTGACACCTAAGAACATTTACCTAGTCATAAACGATACACCCCAACTAAAGCAGTGTCTGTCTACACTGTCAGTGCTGGCAAAAATGAAGGTAACCATATACTTAGGTCTTGGCGATAGTTTATACAGCAAAGATGGAAATATTGATAAATCAAAACAATGTTTGGAGAGGCTGACAGCCCCCGACAGTGAGTGTACCTTAGAGGGGTTTGATGGTGGCTTGCCTGAGGCAGCCATACCCCTCCTGCCTCCCACCCTCGAGATCCTCCACCTGCGCCTCACACTACAGCAACTGCCCGCCCTCATCCGTCACCTGTCTCACCTTCCTCACCTGCAGGGTCTTGGTAAATATTCATATTTTTCACCATAATTTTTAGGGTTATTTATTAATACCAAAATTATGCAAGGGGCTTCATTCGTCATGTTTAATATAGTAATTCAGATTTACATTGTTTACATATATGTTTACAACCTTATGGACGAAAGACTCCTTATATTGCTTACAAACATAATCACCTTATGGGAGACACACCTTATTTTGTTTACAAATATAATCACCTTAAGGGAGACAAACACCTTATATTGTTTACAAATATAGTTACCTGAGGGCGAGAAGCTCCCAACATTGTTTACAAATATAGTCACCTTAAGGGTGACAAACACCTTATATTGTTTACAAATATAGTCACCTTAAGGGTGACAAACTTTCTACTTTGATTACAAATATAGACTTATTAAGGGCGACTACTCCATGAATAATAAATTTCCGAAACATTCCGCTGCTGTATAAATTCTTGTGCATAAATAATTTCATGAAGTATTTAGCGACGCCATACTTTTGGTTCTGATGACTTACCACTTTGACTTTGACTCGTGTTACAGATCTCCTTTCACTGTGACCTAATTCCTGTTTGGGATGACCTTTCACTGTGACCTAATTCCTGTTCAGGATGACCTTTCACTGAGACCTTATTCCTGTTCAAGATGACCATTTACTGTGACCTAATTCCTGTTCAAGATGATCTTTCACTGTGACCTAATTCCTGTTTATGATGACCTTTCACTGTGACCTTGATCCTTGGTTAATTAGGCCTTCCGTATCTTTGACCCTTAATTCAGGTGACCCATCTATCCCTGTGACCTTGACCATTGATAGAGATGACCATGACTGTGACCTTGACCATTGATAAAGATGACCATGACTGTGACCTTGACTATTGATACAGATGACCCTGACTGTGACCTTGACCATTGACAGAGATGACCTTGACCATTGACACAGATGACCATGACTGTGACCTTGACCATGATACAGATGACCTTGACCATTGATAGATAACCTTGACAATTGATACAGATGACATTGACGTGGCTTTTAAAAGCTATTAATACATAGTTTAGTTGCTATTAATACTCTCCAAAATACGGACTTGTCATCATGTAATAAACCCAGCAGTAAGGTGAGTGGATGGCTCAGTATGTCTTCTTGTTATATCTTAGAACATAACAGTAACGACAGTGACTGTATCTAAGTGTTTGTCTTCAGGCATTGACCTAGACGCCATGGGCTATGTGGAAACCGGACACCCTGGACGCCACGGGCTACGCGGACCCGGACACCCTGGTCACTCTGCCGTGCCAGGAAAGGAGGCTCAACCTGATCATCAGGCGGGACCTCACTGATGACGACCGCGCCATAGACTGGTGCTGCCACCTGGCGGCTCAGCTGTGTCCTCCCTCAAGAAGACGGTGTAGTCTCCTGTGGTTCCGTGACACGCGTCTCACCAGTACGTATTGACTACATTTTAACACGTGAATATCTGTAACTCAGTTGTTTAATTCACAGTGCTTCCAGTGGTTTCAGAAATATTTTTACATTAAGTCATGAATTAGAGAACTTATAAGGCTTCTTGAGTAACTTTGAGCACCGTTTAGCGACCAAGAATATTCATTAAGCATGCTTCACTGTTCATAAGATAACACTGATCAATATTTAGCCCAACATTGTCTTGCTTAATACAAGCTAGATTTACTTGATATAAGTTTTCTTTGGCATGAGTGTGTGACGTAGACAGGTGTGGGTGGGGAGAGTAGCCAGGTGTGGGCTTTAGTGTTCCTTCCCATCTGCAGGTGTGGGGAGGGAGAGTAGCAGGTGTGGGCATCAGTGTCCCCTCTCATGTGCAGGTGTGGGGGTGGAGAGTTACCAAGTGCTTCAGTTTTCCCTCTCATCTGCAGGTGTGGGTGGGGAAAGTAGTCAGGTGTGAAGGAGACAGGTGTTGGTTTACTGTTCCGACTCATCTACAAGTGGGGGCTGGCAGTGGTCCCAGCTGTAGAATTCAGTATTTACTCTGATATGCAGGTTTGGATGAGGATTAGGCTAGTGTGGGGCTTCTTCTGCAGGTGTGGGTGGGGAGAGTAGCCAGGTGTGGGCTTCAGTGTTCCCTCTCATCTGCAGGTGGGGCCCAGGAAACAATTTTAGGTTGCCACAACGTACCTGGAAGGTGTTTGAAAGCTGTGACAAAGTTTATTTTCATGTATTAGCTACGTTATTGTGTGGTTGTAAATAAGTTGCCACAACTTATTGCACAACTTTGGCTAAACAATTTTGAGTCCGTGTCGCAACCTTAAATGTTGCATAAAAATGGTTTTCCTGATTGATGGAATATATATAAAAAATATAGAAATATATTAAAAATATATTTTTACATATACTAGAAATAAAATTAAAGCATAATAGAAGGTAGGTTAAAAATATTTTATTCATTACTTTCACTTAATGGAGAATCCATAGTAGTGGTGGTGGAATTGTTGCTGGGTTGTGGTTGGTGGCAGTGGTGGTAGGTTGTGATTGGTGGCAGCGGTGGGTGATGTTTATTGTGGGTGGTAGTGGTTGGTTCTAGTGGTGGTTAATAGTTGTGGTTGGAGGTGGTGTAGTTGATTGCTGTGGTTGGTAATTGTGGTGGCTGAGAGTTGTGATTAGTGGTAGTGGTGGTTAATGTTAGTAGTGGTCGAGGTTATGGTGGTTTGTGGTATCTGGCTCTGCTCCTCTACCCTCCTCCACCTCTGCACCACTACCCTCCTCCTCCTCTGCACCACTACCGTCCCCCTCTGCACCATTACCCTCCTCCTCCTCTGCACCACTACCGTCCCCCTCTGCACCACTACCCTCCTCCTCCTCTGCACCACAACCCTCCTCCTCTGCACCACTACCGTCCCCCTCCTCTGCACCTCAACCCTCCTTCTCTACACCACAACCCTCCTCTACACCACTACCCTCCTCCTCTGCACCCCTACCCTCCTCCTTCTCTGCACCACTACGCTTCTCCTTTGCCCCACTACCCTCCTCCACTGCACCACTACCCACCTCCTCTGAACCACTACCCTCCTCCGCTGCACCACTACTCACCTCCTCTGCACCACAACCCTCCTCCTCTGATCCACTACCCTCCTTCTCCTCTGCACCACTACCCTCCTCCTCTTCACCACTATCCTCCTCCTCCTCCGCACCATTACCCTCCTCCTCCTCTGCACCACAACCCCCCTCCTCCTCTGCACAACTTCCCTCCTCCACGTCTGCACCACTTCCCTCCTCCTTCGCACCACTACCCTCCCACTCTGCACCACTACCTTCTTCCTCCTCTGCACCACTACCCTCCTCCTCCTCCGCACCACTTCTCTCCTCCTCCTCTGAACCACTACTCTCCTCCTCTGCACCACTACCCTCATCCTCCTCTGCACACTACCCTCCTCCTCCTCTGCACCACTACCCTCATCCTCCTCTGCACCACTACCCTCCTTCCCCTTTGCACCACTACGCTCCTACTCCTCTGCACCACTACCCTCCTCCTCCTCTGCATCACTACCCTCCCCCTCTGCACCACTACCATCCTCCTCCTCTGCACCACTAACCTCCTGCTCTGCACCACTACCCTCCTCCTCTGCAAAACTACACTCCTCCTCCTCCGCACCACTACCCTCCTACTCCTCTGCACCACTACCCTCCTCCTCCTCTGCACCACTACCCTCCTCCTCCTCCTCTTCACAACTACCCTCCTTCTCCTCGGCACCACTACCCTGCTACTCCTCTGCACCACAACCCTCCTCCTCTGCACCACTACCCTCCTCCTCCTCCTCTGCACAACTACCCTCCTTCTCCTCGGCACCACTACAATGCTACTCCTCTGGACCACTACCCTCCTCCTCCTCTGCACCACTACCCTCCTCCTCCGCACCACTTCTCTCCTCCTCCTCTGCACCACTACCCTCCTCCTCTGCACCACTACCCTCCTACTCCTCTGCACTACTACCCTCCTCCTCCTCTGCACCGCTACCCTCCTCTTCCTCTGCACCACTACACTGCTACTCCTCTGCACCATAGCCCTCCTCATGTGCACCACTAACCTCCTCCTCCTCTGCACCACTACCCTCATCCTCCTCTGCACCACTAACTTCTTCCTCCTCTGCACCACAGCCCTCCTCCTGTGCACCACTAACCTCTTCCTCCTTTGGCACCACTACCCTCTTCCTCCGAACCTGTATCCTCCTCCTCCTCTGCACCACTACCCTCCTCCTCCTCTGCATCACTACCCTGCTACTCCTCTGCACCACTACCCTCCTCCTCCTTTGCACCACAACTCTCCTCCTGCTACGCACCACTACCCTCCTCCTCTGCATCACTACCCTGCTACTCCTCTGCACCACTACCCTGCTACTCCTCTACACCACTACCCTCCTCCTCCTCTGCACCACTACCCTCCTCCTCCTCTGCACCACTACCTTCCTCCTCCTCTGCACCACTACCCTCCTCCTCCTCTGCACCACTACCCTCCTACTCCTCTGCACCACAACCCTCCTCCTCCTCCTCTGCACCACTACCTTCCTCCTCCTCTGCACCACTACCCTCCTCCTCCTCTGCACCACTACCCTCCTCTTCCTCTGCACCACTACCCTGCTACTCCTCTGCACCACTACCCTCCTCCTCCTCTGCACCACTACCCTCCTCCTCCTCTGCACCACTACCCTCCTCCTCCTCTGCACCACTACCCTCCTCCTCTGCACCACTACCCTCCTCCTCCTCTGCACCACTTCCCTCCTCCTCCTCTGCACCACTACCCTCCTCCTCCTCTGCACCACTACCCTCCTCCTCCTCTGCTCCACTACCCTCCCCCCTCTGCACAACTACCCTCCTCCTCCTTTGCACCACTACCCTCCTACTCCTCTGCACCACTACCCTCCTCCTCCTCTGCACCACTACCCTCCTACTCCTCTGCACCACAACCCTCCTCCTCCTCTGCATCACTACCCTCGTTCTACTCTGCATCACAACCCTCCTCCTGCTCTGCACCACAACCCTCCTCCTCCTCCGCACCACTACCCTCCTCCTTTTCTGCACCACTACCCTCCTCCTCCTCTGCACCACAACCCTCCTACTCCTCTGCACCACAACCCTCCTCCTCCTCTGCACCACTACACTCCTACTCCTCTGCACCACAACCCTCCTCCTGCTCTGCACCACAACCCTCCTCCTCCTCCGCACCACTACCCTCCTCGTTTTCTGCACCACTACCCTCCTCCTCCTCTGCACCACAACCCTCCTCCTCCTCTGCACCACTACCCTCCTCCTCTGCACAACTACCCTCCTCCTCCTCTGCACTACAACCCTCATCCTCCTCCGCACCACTACCCTCCTCCTCTGCACCAATACACTGCTACTCCTCTGCTCCACTACCCTCCTACTCCTCTGCACCACTACCCTCCTCCTCCTCTGCACCACTACCCTGCTACTCCTCTGCACCACTACTCTCCTACTCCTCTGCACCACTACCCTCCTCCTCCACTGCACCACTACCCTCCTCCTCTGCACCACTACCCTGCTACTCCACTGCACCACTACCCTGCTACTCCTCTGCACCACTACCTTCCTCCTCCTCTGCACCACTACCCTGCTACTCCTCTGCACCACTACCCTCCTGCTCCTTTGCACCACTAACCTCCTCCTCCTCTGCACCACTACCCTCCTCCTCCTCTGCACCACTACCCTCCTCCTCCTCTGCACCACTAGCCTGCTACTCCTCTGCACCACTACCCTCCTACTCCTCTGCACCACTACCCTCCTCCTCCTCTGCACCACTACCCTCCTCCTCCTCTGCACCACTACCCTCCTCCTCCACTGCACCACTACCCTCCTCCTCCTCTGCACCACTAGCCTGCTACTCCTCTGCACCACTACCCTCCTACTCCTCTGCACCACTACCCTCCTCCTCTGCACCACTAGCCTGCTACTCCTCTGCACCACTACCCTCCTACTCCTCTGCACCACTACCCTCCTCCTCCTCTGCACCACTACCCTCCTCCTCCTCTGCACCACTACCCTCCTCCTCCACTGCACCACTACCCTCCTCCTCCTCTGCACCACTACCCTGCTACTGCTCTGCACCACTACCTTCCTCCTCCTCTGCACCACTACCCTGCTACTCCTCTGCACCACTACCCTCCTCCTCCTCTGCACCACTAACCTCCTCCTCCTCTGCACCACTACCCTCCTCCTCCACTGCACCACTACCCTGCTACTCCTCTGCACCATTACCTTCCTACTCCTCAGCACCAATACCCTCCTACTCCTCTGCACCACTACCCTCCTCCTCCTCTGCACCACTAACCTCCTCCTCCTCTGCACCACTACCCTGCTACTCCTCTGCACCACTACCCTCCTCCTCCTCTGCACCACTAACCTCCTCCTCCTCCTCTGCACCACTACCCTGCTACTCCTCTGCACCACTACCCTCCC